GAAGCAGGAAGCAGAAAGCAGCCATGAATGACTCTCAGCAAAGGACGTCTGTTTTTCTTAATAAGAAAAAGGGCTTGTTTATTTAGAACAAAATGAGAGGGGAAACGTGTTCTGCATGTGTGGGCCGAGCTCTAAACTGCACAGCAGCAGCACCAGCTCTGCTGAGTGCCACTGGGCTTGGCCAGCTCAGAACTTTGTGTGACCCCTGTCTGCCTACACCCACCCTGGAAGGAGCCACCATAGCCAGGTCCTCACTCTGCACATAGGGGTGACACAGTGACCTTCAAGAAGATGAACACACAGAGCAAGGGCTGACTGGCATTTGGACTCCTCCTCAGGAACAGTTCTACTTCCCACTTTATTTTTCATCCAGATTGTGTGCAAAAGTGACCCGTGACATCCTAGTCCAGTTGTGAAGCCGGAAATAATCTTTTAGCCCACTGAGTCCGTGCTTATCTCAGTCTCCTGTGTAGCTCAGCTGTGCTGTTTTCTTCCAGGATGAGTGGTCAGTTATTTGAGCCAAAGTTTGCACTCCTTGCACTTCCTGTTCTCAGATCAACCCTCTACTTTGAATTTTGCCTGACAGCTGATTCTTCATCCATTGTTAGATATTTTCAAGGGTTGTTCATTACAGTGTTTTAAAGAAGAAAATGCAAAGTTATGAAAGGAAAGTGTTTGCCTTTCCCTCTGCATGTGATAGTCCTGAAACTTTCATCTCTAGTTAAATGAATAAAGCAGTGTCTTAACAGAAGTGAAGGTAAAGGCTGGGCATGGTGGCCCCTGCCTATAATCTCAGCACTTGGGAGGCTGAAGCAGGAGGATTGCCTCAAGTTCAAAGCCAGCCTGGGCTACATAGTTCAGGGACAGCCTGAACTACACAGCAAGACCCTGTCTCAGAGAAAAAAAAAGTGAAGGTAAGCACCAAAGTATAACTGCATTTTAAGTGACATTTCAACAGTTACCAAACGATGCTGAGAACATTCTAGAAATAAAGAATTCCACGAGAAAATCATCTTCCAGAAGTGGTCATTGTTGACAGTTTGAAGTAAGAGTTGTAAATGTCAAGTGACCCTTCAGGACAACCAGACTCTGTGCATTGCGGTCTTGAGAGAACTCACCTGCTCTTCCTGAGTGCAGCCAGTGCAGTGCCCACCAGTGGACATTCTGAGTTCACCCCTGGCAGAAACAGCTCAGTGAAGCATAACTGCTGTTCATAGCTCTCAATTTCAAATATTTTAATTTTGGAAATTAAAGAATCTCTCACCTCACGCTGTGGCACACACCTGTAATCCCAGCCAGCCAGGCAGCTGAGGCATGAAGATCACATCAAAACCAGCATGGGCCGGGCGTGGTGGCGCACACCTGTAATCCCAACACTCGGGAGGCTGAGGCAGGAGGATTGTTGCGAGTTCGAGACCAGCCTGGGCTACAAAGTGAGCTGAAGGCCAGCCTGAACTGCATTGCGAGACCCTGTCTCAAAAAGACCAAAACAAACAAAACCGCATGGGTATGCTCACTTCAGCAGCACATGTACTAAAACGAACAATGCAGAGAAGATTACCGTGGCCCCTGTGCAAGGATGGCATGCAAATTCGTGAACCATTCGGTATTTTAAAACCAAGAACCAGTGTGGGCAGCTTAGAGAGACCCCTGTCTCAAGGGTGATAAAAAGGGCTGGGGAGAGCTCAGTGATGAAGCACTTCCCTGGCGTGCACAAGGCCCTGGATTCAGTCCCCAGTGCCTTTCTTTAAAAATTGCATATATATACATGTGTAATGAAGTCAGTCATTTTGATACTATAGTGGATAGTTGAGCATTGTCTTTGTGTATGTAGGTGTATCCTTCAAGAGTATGTCTAAAAGAATTTTGTAATAGGGACTCCGATAACTCAGAACAGAACCTATTTCTGGTTACTACTACCTTGGATGTAGGGGGTTTGTTGTTACAAATTTTTAAGATTAACTCTTCACCATATCAGTTAACACTGAACATACTTTGTAGCTCCCTTTAAAGTTTAAAACATTTGTAGGACCCCTCCCTTTTAGCTATGCATTTGAATATACATTATCAATGAAAAGGATTCTCTAAGGTAGGGGAATGCTTGGCCAAATGCCTTTAATATCATCACAGGCCAGGCATGGCAGCACACACCTGTAATCCCAGCACTCAGGAAGCTGAGGCAGGAGAATCATCACATGTTTGAGGACAGTACATAGTGAGTTCAAGATCACACTAAACTACATAGAGCGACCCTATAAAAAAAACAAAACAAACAAAAAAAGCCCTTTGTATTGTCACGGCCCAGAATGGCAGAGCCTGAATCACACTGACCATGCTGTCACTTGAGGAGAGCACCCTGCTAATCACAGTGCTTGTTTTCCTGCTGTGCTTTTGGTGGCTTCAGCTGAAAGTGCTACAGAGACAAGGTCAAAGAGGCCTGGAGCCAGAAGGTGCACGGTGCACAGCCCCACGTTTAGGAAAAGTACATGTTTATTACTGTTTGCTTGACCCAGACTTTTGTTTTGTCGTCCCTAGCCATTCCCCATAGATTGGTTTTCTCTTATAGGGCCTGAGTCTGTAACTTGAAAGAGGTATGATTTATAAGGTCTGCTTTAGTTAACAGGTTGTTTTCCTAAACGTTTAGTGGCACTTAATGGCACTTTTAATCTATTCACCAAATTTTGTATTGACAACTGTTGGCAAAATAGAAGCTATTTACAATAATGATATCAACAACTTTTAGCGTCCACTGAATCAAAAGTAGTTTATTCCACATGAGCAATCTGTTGTAAAGAGGAGTTTCCTCCTTTGATGAGTTTTAGTGAGAGGCTGTTTACCTTGAGAAGTGTCTCTGCTTTCATGGCCCTGTTGGCCGTGCTGGCCAGGGCCTGCTTGGTAACCCCACCCTGTGCTGCATTGCTTCCCAAGGAAAGGCCATTTCCTCTTGTGTCACCTTCTGCTACCTGAAACTCGTCAAACCTCTTAAAAGCTCTGCCCACTAGAGCTTGCCGGGGGATGCACATCTTCCAGTGAGGTGCTATGTGGCCTGGAGACCCAGGCCTGAAGTGGCAATCTTTGGTTCTCATAATTGAGTTCGAAACATAGCTTTTACATGCTGAGTGATACCATTATAGAGAATAGAGAGATTTGGGTAGCTGCAAGACTTTTCTCTGAATTTTAGTTGCATAAATGGGCCTCAATGGGGCCAGGGTTGTAGCTCAGCGGTGCAGCTCCTCCCTGGCAAATGTAAGTTCCTGAGTTCGATTCCTGGTACCATCCAAAAAATGGGCTTCATCATTCAGTTCTGGATTATTAAGGCCAAAGAGGATTTGAGAGCACAAATACTAGACGGTACATCTTTGGAAGCAACTCTTCTCAACACAGGAAGACCTTGACAGTGCAGGGACTAATACTGAGCGGTCAGTCAGAACTTTATGTCATATTAAGGTTGTTTAGCATATTTTAACTAAATGTGTAATAAAGACAAGTTCTAATCAGCTGGTCATTAATAACTTCACTATAGTAGCATCGTCTAGGGTTTCTTTTATGTGAATAAATGTTTTCTGTTGTTTTAAGTGTATCTTGTAGAAAATTCCAGAGGAAAGTTCTGCCTTCATAAATGTCTGTTCATCTAAAGAACCCAGATAAGTGAAATCCCAACAGCAGCCAGGGTCTTTGCAGATCTCTGAATTTGTCAATGTGAAAATAAGGACTTCCTCCCCTCTGCCCTGCTGCTCTGGATGCTCTCAGGGCTGGAGGCCACACCCACCCGGAGACCACCTGGTGCTACGGTTCCCAAGAAGCTGCTCTGCACTAATCTGCCTGCACACTGAGGTGTTTTGGGGCAAATAAACCAAGTTTTTGCTTTATAAACTGGTCACTGTAGGTGCCTGCATGTAACTCTAATGAGAACCTTGCTCTAAAGTCAGCTATGGATGGAGTATTGGGATCCCGTGGTGTGCGTGCTTGCAGCCATAACTCAGATCTGGTCACTTCTGTTCAGCATTTTGTAAACTGATTTAATAATCATGGTTAGAAATAACGATGTTATTGGAAATGTAAATTTCTATCTTTAGCAGTTTTTAAATAGTATTTAAATTTCTTCTATAAAACTTTTAAAGACATCTTTAAAATTTAGAACTTAATTACTGGTTTGCCATAGGAAAAACATAAGAAACCTTTGAGAATTTTTTTTTAAAAGGAAATTTCTTCATTATAAAATGTATGATGAAATATGCCTCATCTTTAGCCTCCTTAAAATTATGCTGAAAATTCAGGACTTCTTCATTCAAAGGCAACCATTGTTTGAAGGAGGAGGAAAAAATAATTATTACTTACTGTAATATAATTCTAGATACCAAAAAATTTCATTAATGAGAAACCCAAGGAAAAAAATCATGAACTGAACAATTTTATATGATCTGGTTTTTCAGTGAGGTCAGTGAGTGTGGCATTAAAACAGCCCTGCCTTCCAGGTCGTGTTATGCAGGTGTCAGGCTGAAGCCCCTCCTCTGCACACAAAGCCCTGCCCTCATGCCACCTTTTGCTTTAAGTTCTTGTTGAGACTTTTGTTTTGTTTTTGTTTTTTTGTTTTTTTCCAGTACCAGGAATCGAACTCATGACCTTGCGCTTGCCAGGCAGGCGCTGTGCCACTGAGCTAAATCCCCACCCCCTTTAAGGTCTTGTTGCTTAGTCATACTACCCGTTAAGTCTTCACTAGAGCAGAAAGAAACCCTTAGAGATACAAGGGAATGTTGAGGGCCGCCTGGGCCCTGAGGGTCCACACCATCTCTTTTGGACTCTGATACTGGGTAGATCAGCCATCAGCTCATTTTTTATATGTCACATGTAGACCTGCCTGTGACAGGCCCCCTGCACATGTCCCAGAAAGTGCCTAGTCAGGAGCAACTCAGCAGGCTAGTGCCCCAGGAGAAGCATGGCTCTCAGCCAGCATCACACCCATTCTCATCTCTGCTCCACCCCGCCCTGTTCATTTCCAGGACTTGCTGTGGACAGTCCTCAACCTTCTCCCTCCAGCCAGAAGAGCCCACTGAGCCTGAGCCCTGCATTTCAGGTGGCTCTGGGCCCCGCTGAGCAGGGCTCATCCCCCCTGCTAAGCCCTGTCCTTAGTGATGCTGGTGGAACCCGGACGGATGACCCGGAGGAGCCGAGACACAAGGTGGGCTGCTGGAGGCCCCAGGGCTTGCTGGGACCGTGGGGGGCAGGGGAGGGTCTGTTCACACCCGTGAGCCTAAGGCACAGGAAATGGATGCCCAGTCCCTTTGTGAGGACAAGTTTCTTCTTTAACCCGCAGTTTTGACACCTTTGAGTCCCAAGTGTCTGGCTGGGTGGGGATGGGACAGGCCATGGTGGGGGGGCTTTCAGCCTCACCACCCTTCTCCTTTCTTTAAGGGCTCACTCCTCCCTCCCTGCTTCCGTTTTGCCAGTTCTATGGTAAGAAAAGATTTGGATGCAGAGGGAAGGTTGACCAGAGGCTGGGCCATCAGATGGGTGGAGCATAGGCCAGAGCCTGGGGGCAGTGGAGGAGGCTCCTGCAGGGAGGTCCAAGACGTGGGGCAGGACACTGGCTGAAAGCCCATGATGGAAGGCTGAGCTGCACCACGCCTCTGCAGTCTCTAGTGCTGGATACAGCAGAGTCTGCAGTGACACTCAGAACCTCATCACAGAGGCAGGGGATGCCACAAACCCAAGGCAGCCTCCACTCTGCTGGCCTCACCATGGTGACATCATGGTGAAGGCGGTCAGGCAGTGGGGTCCACCTGGCGTCTGGTTTTGCAGGTGGGCATATAAGAAAGGTTTGTGGAGTGAGTGGGCTTAAAATAAGCTTCAGACTGTGCTGTCCCTGGAAGGCCAAGAGGGAAGAGAGTGGGAAGGGCCTGCTGGGTCCTGTCACAGGAGAGGTGCTGTCCCTCACTTTCCAGACGCACCTAGATAGCTTCTAGAGGTTTCTCTGGGCTCATGGTTCTGGAGGTTTCAGTCCACGGTCTATTGGCCCTGTGGCTTTGGGCCTGTGTTCCACATCATGTTGGGTATGTGTGGCAGAGCCAGGCCTTTCGCCAGCGGCCAGGATGTGAATGAATGAGAGAGAAATAGGAGGGGCTGGGGGCCCACTGTCTCCCCCACACATGGCCCCCAGTGACCCAGAGACCTCCTCCTAGGCCTCACCTCTTCAAGCTGCCACCACCTCAACCTTTAACAGTGGACCTGTAAAGGGCATTCTGAACCAAGCCATAGCAGTGCTTTAACCTGAATTGACATAGAAAGCATATCTTGTCTGAGACCTGCATGTCCAGTTGGTAGGGCCCAGGAACTGAGCTTCCTCAGCAGGCAGCACAGCAGCCATCACCACATGCAGTAAGGCTAGCTCCTCCTCCCTGTACCTTGCATCCTGCCTCTACTCGGGCATGGCTACCTGGTGGCTGGTTCTGCTCACTGCAGGTTACTCCCTGTCTCCCAGCCTGCAGAACCCCTGCTGGCCACTTGAAAACTTAGCCTATTTGGCAGCAAGGCAGTTGTCCTGTTGGATAGCATATTTTTTATTTTAGAAACTTAATGAAAAATCTACTTGTTTCATTGTTTCTTTGGTTAAAAAAAACTTGAAATCTGTTTCTAAAACTAAATTTTTTCCTGTTTGTTTTTTTTCTTGCAGTACTGGGGATTGAACCCTGGTAGAACCTTACACCCTCTAGGCAAGCACTCTACCACTGAACCACATCCCCAACCCTAACCCTAAACTTAGTTTCTTACTGAGCATATTAACAACAGTGGACTCTGTGAGGTGCTCTGTAAGATGACGACTTGTCACACTGGAGTGGTCTGGCACTGACAGGGCCTGAGGATAGCAATGCAAGCACCCCGAGCGCCATTCCGCAGAGGACAAGTCCTGTGGCAGCCCTTGGAAGCTCACAGCTCTGGTCTGCCGTCTCCCCCGCTTGTCCCAAGGGACATCTGCATGCAGTTTCCGGCTGGTGCTGAGCATGGTGGGCTGCTGGGCTGGCAGGGACAGCCTTTGCTCACCCTTGCTAGCCCCAGTCCAGTCCATCACCCACATTCAGGGGCCGCTGAGCACACAGGCTTCTGGGGGAGCTGTGCTTGGAGTCAGGACTGAGACTCTGAGGTGGGCTCCCACCCAGTCCTCTGAGGCCTTTTGAACCCATGTACCCAGCAGAGCCACCACAGGCTACTGGGAGCTGTAGCCACAGAATCACTGTTTTATTTGTTGTGTTATTTGGTTTGGATTTTTGTTGCGGGGGTGGTATCTCACTAACTTGCCCAAGCTGGGTTCAAACTTAAGATCTTCCTGCCTCAGCCTCCCAAGTACCTGGAATTACAGGCATTCACCACCACTCCTAGACAGATTTACTGATTCTCTCCCGAAGGACCTGGGTTGGAGATCCATAGTGCTCCCATTGGTGTGTCAGCTCTGTCCATTTTTTGCATGTGCATCTGGCTGCTTGGCTGTGTGGAAGAACAAGGAACAGCCTGACCCTCTGGGCCTGTAAGGAGCAAAGGCTGTGGCTGGTCCCCCTGCTCCCCAGGGTCTCCACGTGATACCCTGTTTCCCTCCCTTTCAATGGAAACTGGTGAGGACCAACAGCATGTGGAAGGTTGGCAGCCAGGTGTGGCAGAAGTGTCCTTCCAGGTACTTACATGGGGCTGAGAACTGGAGATGCACTCCCACAGTGGCAGGGACAGAGGTTGGCACCGGCCATGCTCTCCTCTCTGAGCTGTTCTCGCTGCCACAGCCCCTGAGTGCCATCCTTGGGGGTAGAGCACTGAGGCTCCCAGGCTTTCTTTCCCCCACTTGGTTTCCATGGCTGGTGCAGCCTGAGCTGCAGCCCTTTGTCATGGCTGTGGCACCTGGGAGGAAACTCTCGTCAGTGATGAGGCTGCTTTGGAGGCATCTCTGTCCCCGGATGGGGCTGCTCTGGGGTTTGAGAAGTCTGATTTCTATAGAGCAGCATTCAGTTAGGACTTTGGAATTGGGCCTCACTTAGAGGTGACTGTGTGTAGGCAGTGACTTCACTGTACATCCCTCCCCACTGAGCCCACGGCCAGCCATTCATGGGTGAAGCAGCCAGAAGCCCTCATTTGCGGGGAAGCTGATGCCTCCCTACCACAGATATGGGCCTCTCGGCGTCAGTTCCAACACCAGGTGTTCACAGGGCAGTCGAGCTACCACCACCACACGTGCACAAAATAAGATGTGAAAGTTGGAAAGTGACTCAGCTGCTCTGTTGGGAAGGCGGTCTAATGCTTCAGGGTCAGTGTGGGAACTCCACAGGGACACGGCAGGGACCAGAGCCATCACGTGGCTGCCAGTCATCTTGGAGGAGCTGGGGGAGAAGCTGCCGCAGGATTCTGGGGGAGAGGTTAGCAGCACCCAGTTCTAAAGGGCTTCAGTGGCCATGGGTTCCAGGGTGGCCGGAGGATGCCAGCCAGCATTATTAGTGGGCTGTGGGGCACATGAGATGGATGCACTTAGGCCACCCTTTCAGCTACAAGGTACTCTCCAGGGATCCACCTGCCCTGAACTCAGAACCACAGGCCTAGGGAGGAGGATGCAAGCTCCATGGCAGCTTCCAGCTCTCCTCCTCAGCCCCTCACTGCTCCTCCCTGGTTTCTCAAGTCTACCTCAGCCTCTTGTGGTGAGACTCAGCTCCCACTCTTCCTCCCCAAATTCTCCCTCCCTTCTCCAACTTTGGATGATGGTGACTGATCTTTCCCTTGGCTCCAGCCAAGACCTGCTGCTGCCACCTTGCTGGCTTTATCTCTCACATGCACAGTGCCATCTTATATGGCTGGTGCAGATGCCTTCGCTGCCCCTCCTTGTCTGCTTGCATCTTGAAGTCCAAGCAGATCAGAATGCATTCACAGGGGGGGCTGGGGATTTAGCTCAGCGGCAAAAGCGCCTGCCTGGCAAGCACAAGGTCGTGAGTTCGGTTCCTGGTACCGGAGAAAAACAAACAAAAAAAAAAAACAAACAAACAGAATGCATTCACAGGGACTCCCAAGACCCCAGAGCACCCAGAGGCAGATGGCCTGCCTCCCCGCAAGTTACCATTTCATCCCCCTTTACCACCTCCACTGCCCCCTGCCTCTGGGCCTCTGCCTTGTTTGCAACCCACCCCATCACTCCAAGTGAGGCTGCAGGCCACCCCTGTTTCTCTCCACTGCCAACCCTACCCTCCTCCACCTTGCATTCTCTGTGGCACTTCCTGCCATGATTTGTGGCTCCCTCCTTAACTGTGCCTTGTTTCCTGTGCCACCGCTTGGCAGGCTGCCTGCTCGGGGCAGGAACCTTTGCACAAGGGTTTGGAGCTAGCATGTGGTAAACCCATGTTTGCACAGTGAACACGTAGACCAATTGCCCTAAGAAGTCCACCGTCTGAGAGGGCTGTTTGTGAGCTGTGCAGGGATAGAGCAAGTCTGTGGTTCCTGGCAGGTGCCAGCAGAGGGGCAAGGGGCTCAGGGTGGGGAGAGGTCCTGTGAGGACAGACTAAGCACCTCAAGGCCAGCGTGGGCCACATGCTTTGCCGGGACTGCTGAGTAGGCAAGGTTTGGAGTATGTCAGTCACCGACTTATCTAGCACCAACAGGTTGGGCACAGACAGCTCTAAAGGGGAGTCAGGAGTTCCCTGGACAGGTCTAGCTTGGGCCACCCTATGGGTCACAGGAAGTGGAAAGCTAAGCTTAGGTTTTGGGGTCAGGTCCACTTCCACATTCAGAAAGTGCATCAGCCAGCCTAGTGCTGTGCTGTAGGGACCTTTAGAACATACACTGTTTGGTCATTTTAGTGACTTTGGGGATTAAATTCAGTTATTTATCATGTCACACACACTTATATAACATACACACTCGCTGCTTTCTGTCTGTTAACCGGCTATGCCACTGGCAGTGACAAATGAGCAATAATTTCATCACAAAGCCAATAACAAGCTCAACCCTGTTTACGTATATTATTTGCGCAACAATTCCTTTCTCCAAAGGGTAATATAAAGAGAAAAACATGTGAAGGAGCTACCTGGGCTTAACTGTGACTGTACTTAGAAGTACAGTAAACCCCTTCAGAAGTTATGACCAAAGATCTCATGCTGGTGTTCACTGGAGCAGAAGAAAGCAAGTTTAAAGACTTCAGATCTTCCCTGAACCCAAAAGGGTGACACGCTCACGGCCATCTCACCTTCTTTCAGCGCGTGCCAGAAGATGAGGCTTATTTCATAGCAAAGGAGATTCTTGCTACAGAACGAACATACCTAAAGGATTTAGAAGTTATAACTGTGGTATGAAACCCCAGTCCTTGTTTATTTTTATTTTCTTAATATGTCTTAAATCTAAACATAGAGGTTCTCTCCTGAGAAATAGCTACTGATAATCATTGCTATATGTATAAATTTTGTTTAACTTATATCTTTCTTAAGACATGATGTTTAAGGTCAGAATATTAGGTCCAAGTTTTTGTGAAGCTGAAAAGCTGGAAATGTGTCCATTTCAAACTTGTTAGAATTGTTTTGCTATATTTAAAGATTGGGTGGTCAGCAAAGGAATGGGTAGGGTGCTAGCTTGAGCCTTTTTCATACACAGTGTCTGGAGGGTCTTGGCTGGGTGTCCTGTGGCCACAAGCCCTCAGGGGCATGCTCTCTGGGTCCCCAGCAGAGGCCGTGCCTCCCGTCATGCCAAGCTTTTCCCACAGTGGTTCCGCAGTGCAGTGGTCAAGGAAGATGCCATGCCCACATCCCTGATGACCCTGCTTTTCTCCAACATTGATCCTGTCTACGAATTCCACAGAGGCTTCCTGCATGAGGTGGAGCACAGGCTGGCACTCTGGTAAAAATGCTGCATGCTGGGTGGCCACCCATTTCCTGGACCCCCACACGTAGGAAACCTCCACCTTCTGGATGCTCACATGGGTGGCTCCCCCTTCCAGGACTCCTACTGCACACACTGGTAGCTCTCTTGCCCTGGACCCATACATGGGCAGTCCCTGAGTGCTACCCCCATGGGGAGGCCCCTACCCCTATTATCATCACTGCTCTCAAGAATTTTCCAGCATCAGAAACTAATTCAGAAAAACCAGTATGTCATTGAAATATATTTTTAAATCCTGTAGAGAGATCTAGAAATTTAACAGTAACCTTTATTCATCCTTCTTCAGAAAAGAGAGTGAAAGGATCAAGTTAAAAATGGGTGAACCCTTTTTTATGTGGTTATAAACTTTTTTAGAGAATTGCCAAGACATATAGTAATTGTTTTTGTCAAAGGCCACCTCAAAGTATCCCATCATTCCTGATTGTGACTAGGACAGCTAGTAAAGCTACCATCAGATCATTGTGTTTTCTGTCAGCTTTCACGGGGTTTGACCTTGTTCCTCTTTACTCCAGGGAAGGGCTCTCCGTTGCCCATACGAAAGATGATCATCAACGAATTGGGGACATCCTACTCAGGAACATGCGTCAGTTAAAGGTAGGTCAAGGCTTTTTTACAACTCCAGGCCTGGCATGAAAGCTGTGGACGAAAACAGATCTGTTCTCAGCATTTCCCACAACAGAAACTATCCCCCAAAACAAACTCCTCCTAGTGTACCCTGGAACAGAATTTCCCACAGAACAGTTCCCCTCAGAATAGAGTTCTCTTCAGAGCAGCATTTCTCTCAAAGAAGCATTCCCTCAGGATGGGGTTGCACTAAATGTAGCCTTTGTAAAACAGTGTTCCTCTCAAAACAGCACTCACTTCAGAGCAGGGTTCCTTCACCTCAGAACCCAGAGGGTTCCATTCAGAACAGTGTTCTCCAAAACAAAGTTCCAATCAAAACTTATTTTATTTCAGAAAAGGATTCCCCAGGACAGAGATCCCCTCAGAACAGCATTCTCCTCAAAGAGGGTCTCTCTCAGAATACTGTTCCCCTAAGAATACATTGCCTCAAAACAGGCTTCTCCTTAGAACAAGCTTCTCTTCGGTACAGTGTTTCTCTCAAAATAGCATTCCTCTCAACCACCTTCCACAGAGGACAGTTTCCCTACGAATAGCTTTTCTGAGTAGTGTTCTCCTAAGAACAGCCTTCTCTTTAACAGTACTGCTCCAAACAGGATTCCCCTCAGGACAATATACCTCAGAAAGGGCTTCCCTCAGAATATCTTTTCCTTTCACATTATTTCCACAGAACATAGGCTTTTTATCATGTTATTCTCAGAATAATGTTCCTCAGATAAGGTTTTCCTCTGAACAGATTTCTCCTCAAAATAGCTTTCCCAAGAAATAATGGTGTTCCACTCAGAACAATTTTCCAGGACAAGGTAATCTTCAGAACAGAGTTGCCCCACCAGGAATTGTGGCACACATCTGTTATCCCAGCACTGGGAGGCTGAGGCAGGAGGACTGCTGTTAGTTCAGGTCTGTCTAGGGTACATAGTGAGTTCAGAATCAGTCTGAAATATAGAAAGAGCCTGTCTCAGACAAACAAAAAGCAAAACAGGGTTATGCTTAGAGCAGCAATTCCTTCAGAGCAGCCTTTAGCTCAAAATGTAATTCTTAACAATAGGGTTGCCCTCAGAACAAGATTCCTCGGAACAAAGTCTCACTAAGAAAGCATTGCTTAGAATAAGGTCCTTCTCAGAATGGTGCTCTCTCAAAGAATACTCCCTTCAGAACCAGGGTTCTCCTTCAAGTAGCTCTTCCCAGAGAAGTGTTCCACTCAGAGAAGAGCTCACTACAAAACAAGATTTCCCTCAGAAGAGGATCCCTTCAGAATAAGATTCCACTCAGAACAGTGCTCATCTCAGAGTAGGGTTGCTCAATACAGCACTCCCCCCAAGAACAGTTTTTTGTTCAGAGCACTGTTTCCCTCAGTGTTTCCCTTTTCCTCATAGAGCTTTTCTTAGAACTGGGTTCCTCTCAGAACAGAGTTCTTCAGAACAGTGTTCTGCTACAATAGCACATCTCAAAACCTGCTTCTCAGAACAGTATTCCCCAGGACTAAGTTCCCCTCGAAACAGCTTCCCTTCAGAAAATCTTTCTCCATGACAGGCTTACTTTGGAACAGAGTTGCTTAGAAGAAATCCTCCCTCAGAATACTGTTATTCCCCTCAGAAGAGAACTCCCTTCAGAACAGGTTCCCCTGAGAACAGGGTTCCTTTCTAAATAGGATTCCTCTAGAGCAACATTTTTCTCAGAAGGGTACTCCCCAAAACATCATTCCCTAAAATGTTTCCCCTCAGAACCATTTCTTCAGAACTTTTTTTTAAAAAAGTTTCCTCAGAGCAGCATTTCTCTCATAACAAGGTTTTCTTCAAGAAAATGCTTCTCAGGAAGGGGATAGGGGTCCCCATTAGAGAATCTTTCACCAGAATATTGTTCCCCCTGGAACAGCCTTCCCTGAGAATAAAATTCTCCTTAGAACAGCATTCCCTTCAATAGGATTCACTTTAATACAGAGTCTCCCAAAGCATATGTAGCCTCAGAACATCATTCGCCAGAAAAGAGTTCCCCTCAGAATAGCTTTTCTCAGAGTACTGTTTCTCTCAGAACAGCACTTCTCAAAGCAACTTTCCCTTCAGAACAGGGGTTCCCTCAGAAGAGCATTCTCTAAAATTTGTTTCCTTGGAGGACCATATTCCCCCACAGAATTGTCCCTCAGAACCAGGGTCCTGTCAGAATATCTTTCTCCAGAACATACTTCCCCTCAGAACAGTGCTCTTCAAACAAGGTTCCCATCAAAAATTACCCTCAGAACAGCATACCCCATAAAGTTCCTCTTAGAACACATCTTCAGCACAATATTCCCCTCGAAACAGGGTCCACCTCAGAGAAGGTTCCATACGTTACAGAGTTCCCCTCAGAACAAGCTACTCCAGAACAGAGCTCCCCTCAGGACAGCATTCCCCTAACAATGATACCTTCAGAGAAGGTTCCTTCTCAGAATAGAGTTTCTCAAAACAGATGTCTCCAGAACAGACTTCAAAACAAGATTTTTTAGTATAGCATTTCTCTGGGAAAAAAAAACCTTTCCCCTCACAGTGGGTTATCTTCAGAACAAACTTTCCTTTGGAACAGAGTTTCTAAAAAATATTCACCTCAGAATATCATTCCCTTTATAACAATATTCTCCCAGATAATAACAATATTCATCACAGAACAGCTTCGCCTCACAACTCAGTTCAGAACTTAGTTTTCCTAAGAAGATGGTTATGCTCAGAATAGCAATGTTCCTCTCAGAACAGGATTCTTCAGTATAGGGTTCCCCTCATGGTGATATTCCTGAGAAATGGTTTCTCCTCAGAAGAGTTCCTCAGTACAGGTTTTGCCTTGGAGTATCTTCCCAGAGTAGCATTTCCTCCTAACAGCATTCCTTAATGCAGTGTACCTCTGAGAACATGGTTCTCTTCAAGGCACTCTTCCCCTCAGAACAAGGTGCCCCTCAGAAGAGCATCCCCTTTAGAACATTGGCCCCAGATGAGATCTCCCTCAGAGTAGGGGTCCCTCAGAATTCAGTTCCCCTTAGATCTAGGTTTCTTCCAAAACAGCATTGCTCAGAGCAGTGTTTCCATCAGAACAGTATTCCTTTAGAGCAGGGTTCTGTTCAGAACAGGGTTCCCCAATACACCATCCCCCTCAGCAAAGTATTTCCCTCACGATGGATTCTTTCCAGAATAATGGACAATGTCTACCAGAATATTGCTCCCCTCAGGACAGGGTTCCCCAGGTCATGATACCATAGAAGAGTTCCCCAGACAGGGTTCCTCTGTTGTAATGTTCCCCTCAGAGTAGTGTTCCCGTATCTGGTGTGGGACTAGGGTGCTGGGCTCATAATTCAGGCTTTTTCTTTGGCATATTAGAGCTCCATGAGGGCAGTGTACCAAGAAATGCAAAAATGAAGTGACTTCTGGATAGCCATAGCACGGTGAGAGAAGCAAGATATTCCTTCATTAGTGTCAAATATTGGGTTAATTAACCTGTAGTTATTGCAGGCTGATCAGGCCCACAGTCTCCCAAGTGAGTGGACAGCAAAGGCTTAAATAAATGAGACAATTGAAATGATTTCAGAGCTCCAGGAGGGACTAACTCTTACAGCTTTGATATTCTCTGAGTTTAGCCAAAGATTTCTCTGGGCAGCCCGTATTTATTTGGTTTTCAAACAAAGGAGGAGGATACTCAAGAAAATGTGGGAATCTCCCAGGGCCTTGGGAGAATTTTCCCAAGTAGTAAATTATGTCAATCAGGAGAACTACCTTATCTTTAGGTTGGCGTTTATTGTAGGAGTGTGGAGCCTGAAACTGCAGTCTCCTTGTAGTTATAATTGGGGTTGGAGCCAAACGGCCTCAGCTGTGGCCTTATCTTGTCCTTTGAGGAGTCACAGCTTTACAGGTAAATACAGGCCTCAGGGTGAGCTGGGACTCACAGAGGTTTACTTACTATGAGTCCTCTGCCCATCCCCAGACAGATCTGTTTCATGCAGCATATCCTACCGCCTGTAGCGTTCTATTAAGCACATCAGTTTAACCTTCTCAAAGGTAGCGGCTGACAAACCTGTCTGGAACAACCAGAGTCCACGTGTGAACACTTCAGTACACGTTGCTAAGATGTTAGGCCTGGCTGCTCCCTTACCCCAGTAACTGAGCCAGTATGACTGCTTTGCCCCACGCACGAGCGACACTTCTGGATCAAGGTTGGAGCTAGGCTGAGCGTGTTTGCTGAGTCCTGTGAAGTGAGCTAACCCTGCTAGCCTCCATTCTTCATCTCTATGGTGGGAAGAAGGCCCTTGCTCACTCACAGGGCATCAGGGCAGTGAGCAGTAGGTTGGGGGAGCCCTGACCCCCACAGGCTGGAATGAGGGACAGGTCAAGGTGGAGTCTGAGATGGCAAAGACAGAGCTCCAGGGAACTAGAGAGACCCTGGCTGCCCTGTCCATCCCTGTCCTGCCCTGTCAGGATCACCAGCTGTATCTGCTGTCCACAGGGGGAATTCTGTTTTTTTGTTTGTACCAGGAATCAAACTCAGGACCTTGCGCTTGCCAGACAGGTGCTTGTGCTGCTAAACTATACCCTGGCCCTCCACAGGGGGAATTCTGCCCACTCCACATCTCACCTAAACCTTTGTGCCCCAACAGGAGTTTACCAGCTACTTCCAAAGACACGATGAGGTCCTGACAGAACTGGAAAAGGCCACCAAACGCTATAAGAAGCTGGAGGCGGTGTACAAAGAGTTTGAGCTCCAGAAAGTCTGCTACCTGCCACTCAACAGCTTCTTGCTGAAGCCTACCCAGCGGCTGGTACACTACCGCCTGCTGCTGAACCGGCTGTGCAAGCTTTTCACACCTGGGCACCGCGACTATGCTGACTGCTGTGGTGAGTGAGGTGCCGTGCCCTTGTGCCTCGAGGCTGGAGGGCTAGGAAGTAGGAGAGGATTTGCTAGACTTTCCCTCCTGGTCTCCCCTCCTCCCTCAACTACTGCAGGGGAGCAGGTCCCAGGTAGGCGCCTGGGCTGCTCACAGCCCCAGAGCAAGGCCTTTCTCAGCCTCACAGCCCAACAGCACAGAGAAGGACTGATTGTCCTAAGCAGGGCCCAGGGAGTGTGTGCTGTGACCAGGGTGGTCTCCTGCTGCCAGGAGGAGGAGGTCACCCACATCCCATCTGAGTGACCTGATTTCTGTCTTGGACGCCTTGGTTCTAAAGCTTAGAAACGTTTGGGTGAGGCCACTTTTTCCGGTAACTTCCGCTTCTGGCATAGATGGACTTTGTCTTTGTCTTTTTTCTTTTTCTTTTCCTTTTTTTTTTGAGACAAAGTCTCACTATGCAGTCCAGGCTAGTTGCTAAATACCCCAGGCTGCCCTCAAATTTGCAATCTTCCCATTTCAGCCTCCTGAATGTGGGATTACAGGCACGTACCACCATGCCCAGCTTCGACTTGGTTGTTTTCA